AGGGTATTGTCTTGCATAATTCTATTTAAGGTGAGGTTAAGGTTGAGTAAAGGTTGATTTATTTGAAGGTGCTTTTGTGTAGGATTGCAGCTCACTGGTGATTAGGCAGTCCCTTCCAGATGAAGGGCAATGTCACCAAATGTTTTTTTACCATTTCAAGTTAGTGCAACCAAGTTAACAGGTGGAAATGATTGTACTGATATTAGACTAGTTGATATTGAAACTTCAATCATTTTATAACTTTTTCATTGTGCGCAATGAAACCTTGATTTTTTACAAGTACATGTAGGTCCTGATTTTACAAGTGAAATAGTCTACCGGTATGTTTTTATCACGCCTTTTTTCACTACAAGTTAATGACACCAGATAATATTGATATTTTTGGCATGTGTTTTATAAGGTAAACATCCCCTGGGCCTGGATTTTGAAGTCAGTTAAGCATTTAATATATTCTCCCTTAAAGCAACCTTAAAAATGGGGTCTGTACTATTATACTGTTATTATACACAGGTGCATATTATGTAAAGGTTAATATGGTTTACACTATTTTTTCAGTTTTATTGATCATACCGTTATTAATAAGTTTCGTTTATAAATAACCAGTTTGCATTGGCCAGTTCGGCAGATTTCAAGACGAAGTAAGGCAAGGTCTTTCAAATCTAATTAAAATCTGCACCACGGGAGATTCGGCTTGGTTTTTCTCTTTTTGACAACATTTTGTTGAGATTAGAAGGAACTACATGGAGTCTGTTTATGATGTTGCCATTATCAGGTAATTTGTTGAGCATCATAAATCAACCCAATGTTATATGAAGATGATTTCCTCTGTAGTGGTAAACATAGCTTCGAGCGTACAAAAAGTCAGCTACAGTAAACCACTTCACAATAAATCACGCTGTTTAAACACCATGAAGTCTTTTCTTGCCTTTAAAGTCATCAGTACTTGAATATTCGTGTATTTTCAAAAAGGCTTTACCATGAAACTTTGGCAAAACACCCAGTTCACGACAGCGATTTTGTTCTGCTTTATATTCACCGCCAAGCGCGGTGAATATAACGTCATAGTCCGAGATAGCTAACCAATCAGATTGCTTGAATTAACAAGATCACTGAGTGTGTATATACTAAAACCCAATATTATGTGAATATGATTTCTGTTGAATTTTCTTGTCTTTATCACAAATTAGGCCATTAAAGAACAATATTTTTTCCGGCAATAAGCTGGAACCGTTATGTTAAATTAGGGATGTAAATGTTTTGTTGCTGTTGTTGTTATTGTTGTACTGTTCATGTGATCCTCAGAGTGTTCAATATTTTTTCCACGAAGGAGTTGGTCAGTTTTGAAGGGGGCATTCAGCCTTTTTTTGTCTTTTGCTTCAAAAGCCTTTATAAAGCATCTAAGATGCTGGGTGTGCTCTGATTTGCAAAGAGGTGTGTTTACGCGCGAGTTTGATAATGGAAACACATTATTAATTTGTGATGTTTGCAGTTCAAGCACTAATCACATAACCACAATTTTTAGAAAAAATCACTGCACTTAAAACTCCACATAATTGCTTTATTTACCCATTTCTTAGACAGCCGAGACTTGAAAATCTTTACCAACATCTATCCCATTTTGTTGTTGTTGTTGTTGTTTAAATTGACATTTTGAGAGAGGAAGGTTCATATTTTGATAACATCTTTTGGCAAAAGAACTGCTTAATGCTTACAAAACAATTGGTTGAATCGCGAAACAAAACTAATTCCTTCTCTGGATAGAATTGTGGTTTTACATGTACATGATTGCACTGGCAGATATTACATATATTCCTGTATTGGGAATAAAAAGAGTACGTATCTTCTCCCTTCAAGGCATCATTTTTGAAGCCATAATGCCGACATCTCCAATGTAAATTAAGTCTAAAGTACTCAGGAGAAGAATTAAGTTATTTGATTGAAGCAATAGAAAACTCTTTCTTGTGGTTTCATAGCGGGGCTCCCACGCGCGCTTCGCGCGCGTGGGACAGAGACCCACACTCATGGAATATGGTCAACCTCTTTTTGTTTGGTTGTCACGTGATTGACCGAGCGTACGTACGTACGTACATACGTACGCGTCGAAAGATTGTACGGGTGGGGTAGGGGAGACTATCAAAAGGAAGGGAGAGGTGTCTCGGGCGTGTCTTTGCAAGTCCACATCTTTAATATAGGACATTCACAATATGGTCAATTGACAGCTGTCAAAACAGGATAGCCACTGACCAGTATCCCATGACCATAACGCGGGCTCATGTGTCAACTCATCGAGGTGACCTGATTTATTTGGAAGCTGTCCGCTGACCGGTTAATTGTTATACTAGATGCGAACAATGTTCAATCTCATACTTTTAGCTAGTTTGGGAGCACAGGAAAACTGATAATGCACACATATTGGATATCACTGTTTTGATCAATTGACAGACCAATTGACAGCTGTCAAAACAGGGTACCCGCTGACCAGTATCACTTGACCGTATCGCGGGCTCAGGTGTCGACCCATCGAGCTCAAGTATTTTTTGAAGTTATCCGCTGACAAGTTACTAGTTTTCAAGTGATCGCAAGCTCAAGTTCAATTTTTTTTAAATTCATATGAAATATGTCGTGTTTATGTGCTGCACAATTAAAATTTTGTTTGCAAACTGACCTCGGACGCGAAAACTCAGCCAGCTGTTACAGGCAGGGAAGACAATTGCTTCTGACTTTTCTCACCATGGTCACGCTTTGGTCACGTTCTACGTCAAATTCTTACGCTTTGACTGGTCAAAATTTGACAGGTGAGTTCATGCGGAAAATTTATGCAGCATCTTGAATCTTGTTGCTTTGGCAGCTGAAGCTGACAGAGTTTTGTGTCAACTTGTGATGTTTTTAACTGTCTTTTTCCACTGGATGTAAAAAATGAAATTCAGCTGCTATCAGAAAACTTACGTTATTCATGGCTAATTTGTTTATCGGGTTTTTGGTTGAGAAATACGTCGCTTGTCAAAGTCGATAATCCGATTTCGGATTGCATCGTTTTCGTTTTCACCTTGCTTGATGCGTAAGAGGGTTGCAAAGTTTTAAGCGATACTGTCCTTACTTGACACCTTTCAGGAGCTGCGTCTCGAATGGTAAGCTAGAGTAATTATTGTATTTGATCTTTGTTTTTTGAATCTAATTTGATGAAGTCGAGCGTAGTTTATGCGGGTATTTAGTTTACGCACGTTTGTAAGATTTGAGACAATGATCTGGCCGAGTATCAGGTTTGATATAAGCTTACAAAACTTTAAAAAGCCTTTAGACAGTTTCTCACCGCAAATAGAAAGAAAACGTTCCAAAGAATATTTAGTTATAATTCTGGCTGTAAAAGAAAGCTTTGAGCGATTTTCTTGCCTCGAGTTCGTCTTTGAAAAAAGCAAACACCGGGAAGCCGGCTTAAAACATAAACTTAAGCTTGAAGCTTGAAGACTCAGGATTTTTAGGGACACTTAATACTTGTCTTCCTGAGTGAAAATTGGTGTCTCTGTGTATGTTTCACCGAATTACATTTCTTTTATTGATTGTTAGTAGTCTCTCTTGTAATTTTAATCGCTGTGCCGATTGTTTTCAGTCGTTCAGTGAACATCGCTTGCAGGAGTACTCAAAATGCTGAGCGTTAAACCTTTGAATAAAAAATAAACATAATAAATTCTTTATTATGTTGGAGCGTAACTCTGTTAATGTTCATTCAAACTCTCGCCACAGCTCGCACTACAAAAGTGAGAACCGGATGGCCGTATAGGTGATTTTGGAAATTTTTTTAACGGCTTAGCTAAAAACCCACGCGTACTTCCATGGTCCTGAATAATGAATGAGTGCAATTTGTACTGTTAAATACTCCTTTCTGTCCGAGGTCTGTATGATAAAAACAGTGCCTCATACTACTGTCTCACCTCAGATATGACGTATAAATGATATAAAAGGTTGGTTTATACGCACCCAGATTTGTTGGCAAGATTTTGCAAAGTAAAAAATTTGGCCTGATTTTTTTTCCAGGCCTAATTAATCTACGGTGATCAAGAGCCATTATGGCTATTAAATGTGATCAAAGATGATTACCAGTTTTGGGCGTACATATGAGGCTATCAACTCGATGTAAGATTTGGTTCACTCTCGGGCTGTTTGCAAATTATTTTTCTCTAAAATCACCTAGCCTTTCCCTCCAAAGTCACATAAATGTGCTCTAAAGTTAACTGAATTGTGGAATACAAGTTTATTGTTTGATTTAAATTATAAATTTATTAATGGGAGCCTCGCTTTTAGCCCTGGTTAAATCTATATATTAGCGAGATACAAACACTCAAGGGCTTAAAAGAGTGCTCAGAAGTTATACAATTAATACATGCTAAAGCCTTGAAGTCTTCCAACATCCTTGCACATTTACATTATGCTATACGAACAATGTAAAGTTTTCCATTACTTAAATAAGACCACATTTTATTCCATAATGCTAGTATAACTACTAACTTTTCTTCATATTTATGTTAATTAGCTCTCACTGAGTTGATTGCATCTGTAGAATAAATAATAAAAATTTACCTTGAAACAAGGCATTGAGGGTAAGAAGATTGTCATAATGACAAAAGAACAAGATTTGCCTCCATTTTGGAATAAGGTGTATTCCATTATGGTCAATGGGTACCGGTACCTGCATCTAGGCTGCTAATTAATCAGAAAATTGAGTTTTTGGATTGAAAAAGGCTTAAGCATACTATCAGTGAGTGCGATACCATATCCTCTTTGTATCTGTTACAGGTCTAATTTGATTTCAGGTTAAATTATTTTAACCTAGGTTGATTCTCAGTTTCCTTTGTCTCTTAGGCAAGGAGACATCTAGAACACCTGAATACTCCATCGCGTAAAAAACATAGTAATAAAAATGACAGACCCATCGAAAAACATCTCGCCACAACCTTTCTATTCGTTGATTGTGAGTAGAAGGGCCGGCAATAAAGCTACCCCTATTATCGAACCTCTGTTGCTTGTACCATTGCATCACACACCGGAACATTTTCCACACCTTTTTCAACGCGAATTCTAGAGAGCCAAAGGTTTCCATCTCTTTGTACAGCATCCAGAAAAAGATCAAGAACCGTTTCAGCTAAATTGTTTGAGTTACTTCTTAGGAAAATAATTCGCCTGGAGAATCCATCTATGCACCCATGTATGACAATTTTCCTTCTTATCAATGAATGATGGCCATCGAAGTGCCACAGTGAATTTGGCCATGGAACTTGGTAAGTTCGACGGGAAACAACCACCCCCCACCTTAACGCAGTGTTTTGGGGGTCCACTCTTGCATTAATTTCTCTTATTCGCCTTCTCTGAATCCTTAATCCAAGGGAACTCAAGTGACCTCCAACATAGTTTTGCCCAGTGGCAGTTCCGTGATTTGATATGTAGGAGCTTATTATTTTATCTAGCTCTTCATCTGGTAAATGGTCAAAACCTTTGACATCTTTTAAGCCGTACTCCTCCACTCCTCTTGCTACAGTCCATCTTGACACACCAAGTAATTCGGCGATTTTCGTCCGACTAAATCCCAACGTTGTCAGTTACTCGAACATTTCTACGGGAATTTCAAAAGACGGTCGCCCGGGTTTCACACTCTTATTCTTCTTTATTGTTACAGAGGATGCAGCAAGGGTTGTTGGTGTTACTACAATGGAAGAAATGTGATTCCTAAACAATGCCACTACATTTGTAAATGGTTGGATTTCACGTGGCTCTTGCAATGTTATGAATCCAAAAAGCAGTTTGGTCTGTTACTTGATCTTCAACATTCTGCAAGATAGTTTCTGCTTTTTGAAGAACAGACTCCAAAAACTTGGGAAGGTCACTTTCCAAATCAAAAGCATCAACGTCCGCCATAGTTAGTTGTCAGTTATGAGTTTTGGCCCTCTTCCCCTAGTCGGCTCGGGTTGGTCGCGCACTCGCCCCAGGAAGATTAAATGAACAACCTGGAGGATGGAACTTGTTTTCGGATGGATTGAATGAATATTTCAGTGATTGGATTGAATGAATATTTAAGTGGCTGGATAGAATGAATATTTCAGTGATTGGATTGAATGAATATTTAAGTGACTGGATTGCATGAATATTTAGTCACGATTAAATTGAACTGATAAACATAGAATGAAATTGAATGCTTATTTTTATTCTTTAAACATATTTGAAAGATTAAATTGAATGGCATTAGGCTAAAATGATTGGATTGAATAAATTTGTGACTTGATTGAGTTTTGCTACAAATTAAAAGGTTTGTCATACTTTACAACTTAAGACTGAAGACTTATTGCAACCGAAAACTCCTGGTTTTTGGAAATTTAATAATTCTCTATTAGATGACGAAGACTTGACTTCCGCAATCCGTGAGAGTCTATCAGTTTTCAAAGATAAGAACGCTGACCTAGATGACCTAGGTCTAAAATGGGACTTGATTAAAATGGAAATTCGCGGATTCACAATCAAGTATTTAAAAATCAAAGCTAAAAACAAGAAGAATGAAGAAGCAGCCCTTTAAAATAAAGTTAATGAACTTATGCAAAAGCGTGAACAAAACCCTAGCGACAAAAGAATCTTGAACGAGCTTTACGCGGCAAAACTACGCCTACAAAAGATCATGCAACAAAAAACAAAAGGCTTCATTCTTAGGAGCAACGCTCGTTGGCATGAGTTAGGTGAGCGAAATTCCAGATACTACTTCAATCTGGAAAGACGAAATCATCAAAACAGAAACAAGGCTCAAACTCCGTAACAATAAGGTAACTTGTGATCAGTTTGAGATACTACAAGAACAACAAACTTTTTTTGAAACTCTTTACAAGTCGCAAAACTCCCAAGATAATCTGCCTGAATCTGAGTTATTTAATTTAAAGAATATTGATCCGCTAGATGACAACGAACAAATACTATGTGAAGGCATAATTTCAGAAGAATGCTAACTGCCTTAAAAGAGTTTAAAAACAACAAAAAGCCTGGAAAGGATGATTTTTCTGCGGAATTCTACAAGTTCTTCTGGAGTGACCTTGACACCTACTGTCAGTTTGAATCATGCTTTTCCAAAAGGTTCCCTATCTATCGGCCAAAAGCGCGGAATTATTTCACTCATCCCCAAAAAGAACAAAGACAGAACTTTACTTGAAAACCTGCGACCCATATTACAAAATTCTGACAAAGTCTACTGCAAGAAGACTAGAAACATTTCTTCCTAAAATCATAAACTCTGACCAAACTGGTTACATTAAAGGACGCTTATCGGGAAAAACGTTAGACTAATTCAAGATGTATTGTTTCAGACTAAACAGGAGGAAAAACCCGGTATTGCTATATTTCTTGACTTTCGAAAAGCAGCTAAAAGCGTTTGATACAATAGAGTGGAACTACTTAAGAGCTGCTTTACAAACGTTTAATTTTGGCCCTGACATACTGATCAGAACTGGTTTCAAGTTATTTACAACCAAGCATCGAGGTGTGTCCTGCATAATATAATGGTCATGCATCGGACTTCTTGCTTCTCGAGCGAGGTGTGCGACAAGGTTGCCCACTATCTGGCCTCCTTTTGGTCGTTGGAATCGAACTCTTAGCTAATGTACTTAAGAAAGATCCTAATATTAAAGGCAGCAAAGTCGGCCAGAAGGAAATTAAGATAACTCAGTATGCAGACGATACCACCGTTTTGGTGCGCGATCTTCATTCAGTCACACAATTACTAAAACATTTAGACAAATTCAAGCAGATCAGTGGCCTCGAAATTAACACAAACAAAACCGAAGTGTTGTGGTTAGCATGTTGGAGGTCGCGCAAAGACAAGCCGTTTGGTTTTAAATGACCCCAAGAACCAGTCTATGCCCTTGTCTATACACCAGTCTATACACTTTTCCTATGACTTAAAGCAGCGCAAGCCAACACCCTTAACTTGAAGAAAAGTTGTGTTCTTTAGAAAAAAACAAAAAACAAAAAAAAGACACTCAACAATTGGCAAAAAGAAACCTAACTTTAATTGGCAAAATCAATATTGTCAAGATACTACGTTTTTTAAAACTCATATATTGCAGTTCCTTACTGACCGTATCTTAATCCCTCGTAGACAGAATTAATAAGATTATTTTTAGCTTCATTTAAGTGGGCAAGCCACCCAAAATTAAGAAAAAGACTATTATTGGTGAAAAACACTGCTGGGGCCTAAAAATAATTGACTTTGAAATCATGGAACGGTAGCTAAAGGTTGCTTGGATAAAGCCTATCGCTGAATCAAGTAATGCATCGTGGTAAATACGGTCAATACGGAGGTCTAGAGTTGATGGAAAACCGATTTAAATTAAATCCTGCTGTATAAAAGGGATTCGTTGCATCGAAGACCTTCTAAATGTTAACCTTAAACTTTTTGCGTTATCGGAAATGAAAGGAAAATATAACTTTGAATTTCCTTTTACCACTTACTATGGCCTTTTAAGAGCCATACAAACTGAATGGAAAAGTGCACTACGTGTCACAGCCCTTATGTTATCTTATGTTATCTTATGATAAGATGACCCTTATGTTATCAATTGGATTGTCAGCTTTCTTAGTAATAGGAAACAGAGATCAGAGTAGTCGTGGACGGCTTTGTCATCGAATTTGCTAGCATTAACAGAGGGGTACCGCAAGGTACTGTCCTCAGGCCCATATTGTTCTCTATTATGGTAAACGACATAAGACCGGTTTACCCGGAGCACTATCTATTGCTCAAATATGCCGACGATCTTACACTAAGCGTACCTGTGTCTGCACATCAAGATCACTCTTTCATTGAGGTTAACAGCATTCAACACTGGGTGGTAAGAAACCGTATGAAACTAAACCTCACTAAGACCTGGGAAATGGTGGTGCATCGCAGAATTTCCAAACCCCTGCCACCTCTGGTACAGGGGATTGAACGGAAAAGCTGGTTGAAATTACTTGGCATAATTTTCCAGGAGAATCAATCGGACTGGGACCTTCATGTTGACAATTTGTTACGCAAAGCTAGTAGTCGCTTATACATTTTACGCGTTTGTAAATATTTTGGATACCCTAAAGAACAACTGACAAAATTATTTGATCTTTTAATTATGTCCCCGTTTTTGTACGGAATTGAGATTTGGGGAGCGGCATATCAAGGTAAATACCTTGATCGCATTGACAAGTTTTTTAAGCGAGCGCTTAGATTCGGATACACCAACAACCTGTATGCAATAGCTGAAGTTATCAGAAATCGAGACTGTAAGCTATGGAACACTATTACGGATACTCCTTCCCATCCCCTTTACCAACTATTACCCCCTAAGAGACAGAGATTTTTGCGAAACAGAGGACATGATTTTATTTTACCTGCTGTTAAAACAGAACGCTTTAAGAGATCTTTTATTAATAGGTGTCTTTTTAATTTTATTTAATTGCACTTGATCTTAAATAGATTGCATTGTCATGTATGTAAAGCCACACGTATGTTGTGCTACCCAACTATGAATAAAGACTCTTATTATTATCTACATCCTTCCGTTCAAAATCTTGAAAGAACCAAAATTGATCATGTTCCAGTTCAAAATTATTCACAATATTTTACCTACTCAGTCTAGCCTCTTCCACGCGCGCATAACTGATGCTGATGTTTGTCCTTTTTGTAACCTTGAAAGTCAATCTCTTAAACGTATGTTAATTACCTGTAGTGTATGCTCTTCGTTTTGGACTTGTTTTTCTAACTGGTGGCAAGAAAAATTTAATCAAAAACTGACTTTATCTGAAAGCACTATTTTATACGGTTGGCACAAAGAGTCAAATAACTTGGAAGTTATAATGTTTTTGCAACAAGCGTACCCAACGGCGTCCTGGACTTTGACAGTTTTCTACTGCGTCTCAATAACGAAATTGATACTCTTCGCACCATAGCTTTTACATATCTAACCGCTTACCGCAGTTTAAAAAACATGGGCCAAACTTTTTTAGATATGTGAATGGTTATGTCATTTCCATAATACATATCCCTTTAAGCTACGCTGTACTGCTGTACTGTTTCACTTATTAGGTTAGCGTCTTTCTCCTTTTAATTTAGTTTTTTATTCTTTAGCCCGCGCCGCTGTGAAAATAGAAGATAGTTTGAATAGTTAAAAGAGCATGTATTTTTTTTTTGTAATAAAAAAAAAAAGAAAAAAAATTGAACACAGTTCACTTAATTTGTTCTTGGATTTGAACGTGGATTTGTTTAGGGTTGTGTTCATAATAACGTGCTACATAAGTACGTACGTATTTCACTAGAAAGTCCAAATCAGTAGGACGGAATTCAGAACTTACGTTGTAGAATAAGAAAATTGGCAAAGATTAAGCTGCAAACAATAATTAAATTTTAAAATTTAATGACAGAATGTGGACAATTAAATGCTCGGGCGTAGAAGGTTCTAAATTAAAAGCACGCCGGCAGTGGCTGGTAATCTCTTCTGGCCTGCACGCCCAGGAGATATCAACTGAACCGCACGTCTGAACCTGTGAACAGGTAAATAGGGTTTAAGCGTTGTTCTAATGCTTTCTATAACCAGTTTTACGGGGCAAATTTCTGATAGCGGAGCTCCCGCGCGCGCGAAGCTCGCGCGCAGCGGAGCACCATGGGTAAGAAAATTTGGTAAACCATCCATCCCAGAAAATTTGGTTATGACGTAGCGTACGCCCGTCCGTACACACACTTCATGTAAGCCGATGTCAAATGTTACAATAGATCTTGCACAACTTGAGTAGCCTCTTAGTTATGTAAGCCATCCGTATGAGTACGATTAGATTGACAGCTGTCAAAATCAGACATCCGCTGAGCGTAGTTTATGCGGCTATTTTGTTTACGCACGTTTGTAAGATTTTAGACA